AGAAAATGGAGGCAGCTTTGATGTGGGCGCCTAGCCTGGTGTGGTGGGTGGGGGCTAGGCAGGCGGGGAGTAGTCGGGCTTCGCCCCGCAAGTGGGGCTGGGCTGGGGGTGACTTACAGAGGTCGCGGATCTGGGGCGGTCTGCCGCGCTTCACTCCGCCTCTGTGGCGTCCTTTGCTGGCTTTCCTGGTCTTTGATGACTGGGCTGATCGCTCGTTCCCGCAGCCGAGCTTGGGCGCTCTTAGGAGTCCTCCTCTGTGTCGGCCCCAAAGCCTCGAACCTGCTGCCGCTTGTTTGTCGATGTAGGATCGTTGTTGAAAGAATTATTCGCCTTTTGTTGCTCTTGGAAATGCAATCAATACTCTGGTATCACAGCGCACGGCTCACAGGATCGCGCTGACTCCTGGCACGGCCGCTCCAGACCCGTCGCCATCTTGGAATTATTGTTTTTACATGAAATGAAGTTCCATTTAAAATACACACGTGTTGAGGGCCTGCCACATGTAACCTCTGTTCTAGGTAGGAGTGTGAAAGGTGCCATGTGGTCTCTTCCCTCATGCACCTCACAGTCTGGCAAGGGCCATGGATCTGATTGGAGTGACTGCAACACATTGGGCTCTTGGCACGCTTTAGATGTATGAAATGCACTGCATTTCAATCAAATGGTGTTAAGTCCATCATAAACACTTCATAGGCAAATTACAGTTCAAGTTAGGGGCATATAGTTCTGATGTTGTGCAAATTATGTTCATTTCTCATATTAACTGATAAAGTTTCCAACCTTAGATTTCTGACTATCGGAAGGTAATGGCTTTTGCACCTGGCCGTTAAACTAATTTTGTAGATATTGAGCATATTTGCTAAACATACAGATGGCCCCTCAATCTGTTGAATGAAATTACATTTTAAGATAATATGCATTTAGATCACTGTCTTGGCTTATTTGCTTAGAAGCATAACTCATCCTTTTATAGATGTCTTATGTGTTGGCAAATTGACTCAGAAAGCAAAAGGAACAGCTAAAGATGAACATTAATGTATAGTTGCTTTTTCTTTTCCCCCCTCCATTTCCCATATGTCTTTTGATCTATTAGGAGAGCTGTACTATTTATATTGCAGTATGGAGATTATTGGGTATTTCTACTTTCAAAATTACATTATCCATGGTATAAAGGAATCAAAACTCTTAAAAAAAAAAGAAAATCATGCCTTTATGCTATAATTTTTCTACATTGCTTGATCAAATTTCTTTCTTCAGGTTGTAAAGAGAGAGATCTTTGGGAATGTCCATCCAATAAACAATGTTTGAAGCAGACAGTGATCTGTGATGGGTTTCCAGATTGTCCTGATAACATGGATGAAAAAAATTGCTGTAAGTGCTTACATGAATTTAAGACAACATTTTAATTTTAAACACCAATAACCTCTCATTTTGAATGCAAGTTAGAAATTTGAAAATATGTAACAAAAGCTTTTAGTACGTTCAGATCGTTTGACCAAAACTGCACTTTTGAAGATACATGCCAAGAAGACACTTATGTAAATATATATGAGGGTACTTCAAAAAGTTCGTGGAAAAATAGAATTAAAAGATAATATGAATCTTAACATGAACTTTTTAAAGACCTCTTGTACACCATGATATTGTTCTAGTGTTATTTATAGCATGTACAGCATGGAAAAATTAAAGCACCCCAAATATCCAAAAACAGGGGACATAAAATACAACCATAAAATGAAATAATATGCAAACATTAAAACCAAATTTGAGAAGAATAATTTCTCCTGGGTTTATTATATATCATTAGTTGAATAAAACAAAATATACAGTATTATGGGCACTATTGTCCTAAGTTTTGAAAGTACATATACCTACATATAGAAAAAAATCAGAATGTCATAATTAAAAGTTTATAATTATAATCTCTGGGGGGTGGGATTATTAAATTTTTGTGTTTTTCAATTTTTTCTACGTTTTCTAAATGAATGGCCATTATTCTTAGAACCAAGAAAAAATTTTGTCTTAAGATGTTTTACCTGCAAGCAACAAAAAGCCCAACTTGATCATACAATGAAGGCATTTATTATCTTTCACTAAATATACATATATAAAACATATGTCGTCTATTATCATATAAAAAGTCAAGTGTAGGGTGGATTCTTGAGGCTGTGTGGGGTAGTTCAGCACCTTGTCTGTGATTCTTTTAGTTCAGCTTGACCTCAGGCACCCACCATGGCCCATGGTCAAAAGATGAACACGAAGAGCACCTGAGGCACCAAGCTTACTTGACCATATCTAGTGGGAAGGAGAGAGAACCTTGCCACCATCTCTGAAATGTCTCTAAGGGTTTCATTCAGATTGGTTAACTTTGGGATAGATTAGAAAATACACCTCCAAATGGCTAGAAGAGAGGAGATCAAATGCTCTCATCACAAAGAAATGATAATTTTTTTGATGATGAATATACTAACTACCCTGATTTGATCATTATACATGATATACATGTATTAAAATATAACTCTGGGGCCGGCCCGGTGGCGCACTGGAGAGTGCGCTGCTTGGGAGTGCGGCGGCACTCCCGCCGAGGGTTCGGATCCCATGTGGAGACTGGTTCCCGCTCACTGGCTGAGTGCGGTGTGGGCGCAACACCGAGGGTTGCGATCTTGTTACCGGTCAGTAAAAAAGACAAAAAGGAAAAAAAAAAAAAATATATATATAACTCTGTACCCCATAAATATGTACAATCAATGTGTCCATTAAAGAATAAATTATTTTTTAAAAAAAGAAATAAAAGACACTTCTTACAAATGGCTGAACTGCAAAATAGAAGCACTACTCAGGGAGAACCAATTAGAAAAGGATGCTGTTTCCTCCAGGCTGCCCCAGCCCTAGGCGAGGGCACATGGCCTGGCCAGCAATCCAGAAGAAAATATGTTGCAAAGCATGATCTGCAAAACCATAGGCCTAGGCCTGGATCTTGGATCATGTGCTTACTCCTGGACTAATAATTGTACTCAGAAAAAAAATAATTGTAGTCAGAAAAATGCCATGCCCAGGTTAAACTAATCAGTATTTTCCTCTGGAGCTGGGGATGACAAGTTTGGGGACCTGAGCAAATCAGGTTTCCCTAAAAAAGAGAAAGAAACGAAATGGATGCCAAGTAGGCAATCAAGGAGATTCACTATAATTTTAAAACACTCAAGAGAAAATTATGCATGACTCAGGGAATCATTTAATAGTGGAGATTTAAAAAAGAAATAAATGTTATCCATCTACGTGGACAGAGCTTCTTTTCTTCCTATGGTGGCTTCAGTCTGTTCATTTCTTTTGCTCTGCTCATGCAAATTTAAACCCTGTTCTCTAATCCTTGGTATTTCTGCTGCTATGGATACCATTTTTTCGATCTGATTGTTGGAACTGGGGCTGGCCGGTTAGAAAGTTGGTCATAGCACAGTGTAGATGACACCAAGGTCAAGGGTTCAGATCCCCATACTGGCCAGCTGCCCCCCCCCCAAAAAAGTGATTGTTAGAACTGGAGAATCTAGTCACTTAGAGATAGGAATTCTGTTTAAATGTTCTTTGTATGGATTGATGTCTATTAAATGACATTTTAGAAATTCTGTTGTTACACCTGTTTGGAGGCCTCAGCTACCACATATTTTCTTCTTTCCATGCTCCTGCTGGCAAATAAGAGTGTGCATGTTAGTGGTAATCACATTGATTTCCAAGACATTTCAGTCTTCTTGCTTCTTGTTCCCTGTGCCAGCATTTTGCCAAGATGATGAGCTGGAATGTGCAAACCATGCGTGTGTGTCACGAGATCTGTGGTGCGATGGTGAAGCAGACTGCTCAGACAGTTCGGATGAATGGGACTGTGGTAAGCTTCTTGTTCCTGCCATCTGTTGTACACTCTCGTGCCTGTCAGCCATTTAAGCTAAATGAATACTAAATTATTTCACGGATTTTACTAACCACCTTCATCTATTTTGTTTTACTGTTATAAAAACTGACAGTGGTGATTCATGTATGTTATTTCCAACTCACAGAAAATTTCCCTCCAAGTCATTTCTCTATGTAAAACATCTATATTACATGTAAAAACATATGAGTTTAAATTTTTGTAACCACGTTAACTGCTAGAATAGAATTTTAAACTTTATCATCACCCAGTTTCAACAGTTACCAATATCCTGTCATTCTTGTATTGTCTACCTCTCCTGGAACAGGATATTGAGCAGCCCCTCTGTCTTCCCTGTACTCTTGCTTCGGATCCCAATGGCATAGTTAGAAAACTATCTAGTTCCTTATATGGGCAGGACTTAAAGGCATCTCCCGCCAGTATCTCGAATGTTTCAGATTGTAATCCTGAGTTTGATTAATTCCCTCATTCCCCACTCGTCACTCCTTCCATTCACCTGCCTCTAATTTCAGTTCTTTACATCCTCAGGGCAAATCACGATTTCATGTGTGTCATGATCAATTACACAGTGTTTCGTAAATGATCTGAGGCTGATTGAGTACAGAGGAGGCTCTTTTATAAGACAGCAGTTAGCACATATACAAAATTAATCCTAAATTAGCATCACTCACACACTTGCATTCTCATGAGCTTTCTTGAAAGGAAATGATATGAATGGATTTATGACTAGCTCCTTATAATTATGCAAATCCCTGGGTAAACTCATGGGAGTGGGCCCTGTCTCTGGCTACCTTCTGACTCATAAAGAAAAGTTAAGAACTGCCTGTCTCTTTCACTAGAGTCTACAGTTCTTGGCAGGCAGACAACATTTCTAATTCATTTTTTTTAGTCCTCCGCCGCACTGAGAGCAGTGATTTGCACAGGGTAGCTACTCACCAAATGATTCTTAACTCAAATAAATAAAAATAAGTGTATGCAAATGAAGCAAAAGCATGTAACTTATCATTTGGTTTCATAGGAAAAAATGTTTTTAATTAGGTTTCTTCCCTTTTTTTTCCCTAGTGACCCTCTCTAAAAATGCGAACTCCTCTTCATTACTGACTGTTCACAGATCTGCCACAGAACACCATGTGTGTGCTGATGGCTGGCAGGAGATGTTGAGTCAGCTGGCCTGCAAGCAGATGGGTTTAGGGTAAGGTCAGTAGTTTGTAGCACTGATGAATTTCTCAGAAGGCTTCGTGGAACTTGGCAGTAATATCTTCCTGATGATGTATAGTGAGTTAGTACTCTCAAACAAAGAGCCCTCCAAAGCTCGGGAAATGAATCAGGTGAGAGGACCACATTTAATTACAGGCACCTGCTCTGAAGAACGTGGGCTGAAAACCTACTTTGATGAAGCCTCTAAAAATAAATGAAGTAATTGTATTTTAAGTATTTCTGAAATGGAATGCTTTCATTATTTATAAAAGCATTAAGATGATTTCCTCTGTGGAACCCGAATGGAAAAATCATGCAATTTTCCCCCAAGAAGTATTGCAAATTTCTTTTTAAGCAACACACATTTTTTAATAAGTTGAGAAATGGTATTTGAAGTTGCTGGTATTTCTATTTATTCTAAGTAATGCAGGAAATGTAAATCAAGAAATAGTTCATCATTTTTGCTTCTTTTTAAAAAAATAATTAATTGTACATATTTGTGGGGTACGGAGTTGACTGTCAGTGTTTGTGTACCATATGTGATGACCAAATCAGAATTATTAGCATGTTCATCATTACAAAATGTAATTATTATTTGTTGTCCTTACCCAGTTTTTCTCTAACTCCCACCCACTCCCTCTTTCCCACCTCTAATAACCATAGTTCTGTTCTCTCCTTCTGAAAATTCAATATTTTATTGTGGTTGTTGTTTCTTTGTTTCTTCCTTTGTTTATTGATTTTTTTAGCTCCCACTTATTAGTGAAGACATGAAATATTTCTTTTTCTGTGCCTGGCTTATTTCACTTAACATAATTTCTTTAATCACATCTATGTCACTGCAAATGGAAGAATTTCATTCTTTTTATGGCTGAATAGTATTCCATTGTGTATATATACCATATTTTTCTTATCTAGTCATCCACTGATGGACATTTAGGTTGGTTCCATATCTTGGCTATTGTAAATAGAGCTATGATAAACATGGGAGTGCCAGGTATCCCTTCAACATAAAATTTCCATTCCTTTGGGTACATACCCAGCAGCGGGATTGCTGGCTCATATGGCAGTTCTACCTGTAGTTGTTTGAGGAGCCTCCATACTGATTTCCATACCAGGTGCACTAATTTAGAGTCTCATCAACAGGGTAGGAGGGTTCCTCTTTCTCTGCATCCTTGCCAGCATTTGTTATTTTCAGTCTTTTTGATAATAGCCAGTCTAACTGGGGTGAGATGATATCTCAATGTGGTTTTAATTTTCATTTCCCTGATGATTAGTAATGCTGAGCATTTCTTCATATGTCTGTTGGCCATTTGTATATCTTTCTTTGAGAAATGCCTATGTAGCTTCTTTGCCTATTTTTAAATCAGGTTACTTGTTTTTTTTACTGTTAAGTTGTTTTAGTTCCTTGTATATTCTGGATATTATTCTCTCGTTAGATGTATAGTTTGCAAATATTTTCTAGAAGACTCTAGCTTTGATACAAACACACTAAAATAGATTCTTTGAAAGTTAGGTACTCACTATTTTGTGAGGTTTTCTTTTTCAGTTTCATCAGGGATGAAAAGCAATAATTTTAAGGGTCTTAGACTATTTATGTGAGTGTGTATACATATATATATATTTGCTTTCATATATATGTATATAAAATTTGAGGGAAATGTAGAAATGAGAGAAATAAAATGTAAAAGAGTTTAAAAATTCTAGAATAAAAAATTGGGTAAATGGCATTTCCCTGGATCAGCTGAACAAACTTGAAACAATTTTATAATAATGAGCCTTTCAATTATGGGATAGCAACAAGCAGCACATTTTTGTTATCTCAGTTTGAAGAGTAACGTAACTCCCAACAACTTCAGCCCATTTCTCCCATGTAACGACCCACATCTTTGGAAAATTGAGTAACCGATGCTAATTTATAATAAAAAGAACTTTAAACTTTGCAAGAGTAAAAACATTATATGTGCCAAGGTCTATTGTTATCATCTTTCCTCTCACCAAGATTTAAAGTTATTTCTTAATGTGAAAACTTGATTACACAATGATAGACAATCCTATTGAGAGTTCTGTGGGAAAGTTGGAACTACAACAATTTTTTAAGGCAATATTTTGAAACATTTATTTGTTTCTTTCAGTCCTGTTGCTGTCAGAATAGTCTGCTGCATTATTGTCTCTTTCTGCCACTAATATCTCCTATCAATCTGTTTTCATTTTTTAATTTTCTTAATTGACACAAATAGTTGTGCATACTTATGGCATGCAGTGTGATATTTCAATACCTTTATACAACATGTAATGACCAAATCAGGGTAATTAGCACATACATTCATCACCTCAAATATTTATCATTTATTTGTGTTGGGAACATTCAGTACCTTCTCTTCTAGCTATTTGAAAATATATAAAATAAACTATATAGTTAACTATAGTCACTCTACATTGCTATAGAACACTGGAACTTACTTGTCCTATCTAGCTGTCATTTTGTATCCATTAATCAGCCTTTCCCTATTCTTCCTTCCCTCATACCCTTGCTATCCTCTAGTAATCACAATTCTACTCTCTGCTTCTATGAGCTCGACTTATTTAGCTTCCACATATGCACAAGAACATGTGGTATTTATCTTTCTGTGCCTGTCTTATTTCACTTAACATAATGTCCTCCAGGCTCACCCTTGTTGCAGCAAATGACAAAATTTCATTCTTTTTTATGGCTGAGTAGTATTCCATTGTGTATATATGCCACATTTTTTTTTTATCCGTTCCTCTGTTGATGGACACTTGGGTTGATTCCATATTTGGCTATTGTGAATGGTGTTGCAATAAACTTGGGAGTGCAGACATCTCTTCAACATACTGATTTCCTTTACTTTAGAAATATAGTCAGTGATGGGATTGCTGAATCACATGATAGGACTATTTCTAGTTTTCTGAGGAACCTCCATACTGTTTTCCATTATGGCTGTATTAATTGCATTCCCACCAACAGTGGGAATCCAGTCCTTTGCATCCTCGCCAGAATTTATTTTCTGTCTTTTTGATAATAGCTGTTGTAACTGGGATGAGATAATATCTCATTTTGGTTTTGATTTGCATTTCCCACATGGTTACTGATGTTGAGCATTTTTTCATATAATTGTTGGCCATTTACATGTTTTCTTTTGAGAAATGTCTATTCAGATTATTTGCCCATTTTTAAGTGAATTATTATTATTATTATTTGTGGTTGAGTAGTTTGAATTCTTTGTATATTCTGGATATTAATCCCATTCTGCAGGTTGTCTCTTCACTCTGTCAATTGTATCCTTTATTATGTAGAAGCTTTTATGTTTGATATAATCCCAATTGACTATTTTTGCTTTTGTTGCCTGTGCTTTTGAGGTCTTATTCATAGAATCTTTTCCAAGAACAATGTTGTAAAGCATTTCCCCCAAGTTTTCTTCAGGTAGCTTCACAGGTTTGGGTCTTAGATTAAGTCTTTAATCCATTTTGAGTTGATTTTTGTAAATAGTGAGGAATAGGAGTCTAGTTTTATTACTCTGCTTATGGATATTCAGTTTTCCCAGCACCATTTATTGAGGAGACTACCCTTTCAACAATGTATATTCTTGGTGCCTTTGTATAAAATCAGTTGGTTGTAAATACATGGATTTATTTCTGGGTTCTCTATTCTGTTTCAGTGGTCTGTGTGTCTGTTTTTATGCCAGTACCATGCTGTTTTGGTTACTATAGTCTTGCAGTATATTTTGAAGTCAGGTAGTGTGATGCCTCTAGCTTCATTCTTTTTGCTCAGGATTGCTTTAGCCATTTGGGCTCTTTTATGGTTTTATGTGAATTTTAGGATTTTTTTTTCTATTTCTGTGAAGAATGCCATTGGTATTCTGATAGGGATTGCATTGGGTAGTATGCAAAACAAACAAACAAACAAACAAACAAACAAACAAACTGTAGATTGCTTTGGGTAGTATGGTCATTTTAACAATATTAATTCTTCAAATCCATAAACATGGTATATCTTTCCACTTTTTTGTGTCCTCTTCAGGTTCTTTCTTCAGTATTTTGCAGATTTCGTTGTAGGGATCTTTCATCACCTTGATCAAATTTATTCCTAGGTATTTTATTTTATTTCTTGTAGCTATTGTAAATGAGCTGTTCTGTTCCATTGCTTTCTTGATTTCCTTTTCAGATAGTTTATTATTGTATAGAAATGCTACTGATCTTTGTGTGTTGATTTTTTTTATCCTTCAACTTTACTGAATTTGTTTATCATTTCTAAGAGTTTTTTGGGGGGTTTCTTTCAGTTTTTCTGTATATAAGATGATGTTGTCTGCAAACAGAACAATTTAATTTTCTTCTTCCCAGTTCGGATGCCCTTTATTTCTTTCTACTGCCTAGTTGCTCTATTTACAACTTCCAATACTATGCTGAATAAGAGTGGTGAGAGTGCGCATCCTTATCTTGTTTCAGTTTTAGAGGAAAAGCTTTTAATTTTTCCCCATTTGGTATGATTTTAACTATGGGTTTGTCATACATGGACTTTACTATGTTGAAGTGTATTTCTTCAATACTTAAGTTTTTGAGAGTTTTTATGTGAAGGGAGGTTGAATTTTGTCCAGTTCTTTTTCTTCATCTACGGAGTTGATCATATGGTTTTTGTCCTTTATTCTGTTGATGTGTTGTATCATGCTTATTGATTTGTGTATGTTGAATCCTTCTTGCATCTCTGGACTAAATTACACTTGATTATGGTATATAATCTTTTTGTTGTTCTGTTGGGTTTGATTTTCTAGTATTTTGTTGAGGATTTTTGCATTTATGTTTACCAAAGATTGGCCTACAGTTTTCTTTTTATGGTGTGTCCTTGGCTGATGTTGGAAGCAGGGTAATGCTGGCCTCATAGAATAAATTGGAAAGAATCCTTCCCTTTCAAGTTTTTGGAAAAGTTTGAGAAGAATTGGTGTTAGCTCTTTACATGTTTGGTAGCATTCATCAGTGAAG